ACGATTACTTGAAGCTTAAGAAAGACTCCTCAGGCCCAAGTAATCGGGAGAGTGGGTCAAAGACTTGACTCGCTCTCTTTTCCATCTCAAAAAGAGGTTGTGTTTAAGGAATGTTTTGAACAATGGAAGATAGTTAAGGTATCTTAAAAAGATGAGGATTACTTGAATCTTAAGAAAGGCTCATCGGTCCCAAGTAATCGGGAGAATGAGTCAAAGACTTGACTCTCTCTATTTTTCATTTTAGTATTGAGAAAATAGATTTGATATAGCTAGAGTATTTTAAGTGAATGACGATTACTTAGAGCTTAAGAAAGGCTCCTCGGGTCCAAGCAATCGGGAGAGTGAATCAAAGACTTGATTCTCTCTTTTTCATCTTAGTAATTAAGAAAATAGATTTGATATTGAATCGGGTTGTAAATATCTTGGAGAAGACAATTGTTCGAGCGTAAGAAAGGCTCATCGGGCCCAAACAATTGAGGAGAGAAATCAGAGACTCCATTCCAACTCCTTTTTCATCTTTTACAATCTAAGTGTTGGTTAAGTAAATTGATTTGACTTTTATAAAATGCTCGATGTTGATCAAGGTTTAAATTTTGCGTACGAAAAAGTTAATGAATCGAATTTTAGGGTTTCGACTCGAACCATCATACAAGTAAATGAAAGCAATTGAATTAAATTTTAATCATGTGCACTAGCAAAGTGGACTCGTCTTCTAAACGACCAACTAGGAATAGTTGATCGAATAGGTCTCACTGTAAGGAAGCCCAAGAGTAAGCTATGAATGTTGTGTATGGTGATCAAAAGGTTCATGGCGATGCTTAAAAAGCGATCGACTTACAAGGGTGAAAAATGGCTCGACGTTGAATCGATAATTTATTTTGAAAATGGTTTGGAAAACTAAAGTCAAAGTGGTATCATCACGATATAAGCATACAATACGAGTAAGACAAAGTCAAGTTAGTCGGTTCGAGAACACAAGTCAAAAGTCACAAAGTTATACACACAAATTATTAATTAAATTAAACTGAATATTTAATAAAGTTAATTAACACTTGAATTAATTAATATTAAATAAATATATTTAATATAAATAATAATAAACCCTTTTCTCCTTATTTATTATTTGGTTATGTTAAAAGAGGTAAAAATAAACAAATTCTAAAATTAAACTCATACTAAAAAATTAAACTAATTCTAAAGATTAAACTAAATCTAAAAATTAAACTAATTAAAAAAAATAAATCTAAAAAATAAACTAATTCTAAAAATGATTTAAAAGTTAAAAATTAAATTAATTCTAAAGATAAATTGATTCTAAATAATAAAATAAATCAAAAAACTAAACTAATTATAAAAATTATAATAAAAGTTAAAAATGAAATTAATTCCAAAGATAAACTAATTCTAAAAATAAAATAAATCTAAAAAAAAATATAACTATAATAAAATTTAAAAATGAAATTAATTCTAAAGATAAACTAATTCTAAAAATAAAATAAATTTAAAATATAAACTAATTCTAAAAATTATAATAAAAGTTAAAAATGAATTTAAATCTAAAGATAAACTAATTCTAAAAATAAAATAAATCTAAAAAGTAAACTAATTCAAAAAATTATGATAAAAGTTAAAAATGAAATTAATTTTAAAGATAAACTAATTCTAAAAATAAAATAAATCTAAAAAGTTAACTAGTTCAAAAAATTACAATAAAAGTTAAAAATAAAATTAAATCTAAAGATAAACTAATTCTAAAAATAAAATAAATCTAAAAAGTAAACTAATTCTAAAAATTATAATAAAAGTTAAAAATGAAATTAATTCTAAAGATAAACTAATTCTAAAAATAAAATAAATCTAAAAAGTAAACTAATTCTAAAAATTATAATAAAAGTTAAAAATGAAATCAATTCTAAAGATAAACTAATTTTATAAATAAAATAAATCAAAAAAGTAAACCAATTCTAAAAATTATAATAAGAGCTCAAAATTAAATTAAATTTAAAGAGAAACTAATTCTAAAAATGAATACAAAAAATCTAAAAGGTAAACTAATTCTAAAAGTTATAATAAAAGCTCAAAATTAAATCAAATCTAAAGATAAATTAATTGTAAAAAAAATCTAAAAAGTAAACTAAAATTATAATAAAAGCTCAAGATAAAATCAAATCTAAAGATAAACTAATTCTAAAAATAAAAAAATCTAAAAATAAACTAATCCTAAAAATTATAATAAAAGCTCAAAATCAAATCAAATTTAAAGATAAACTAATTCTTAAAAATTTAAAAAAAAAATCTAAAAAGCAAACTAATTAAAATAAAAGTTAAAAAAAAATAATCCTTTTTGAGTTATTTTTTCTTTAGGTTAATGATCTTAAAAAAAATTAAAACTAAAACTAAAAATATAAACTAATTCTAAAACTTTTAAAAAGTTAAGAATCAAAACTAATTTTTTTTTGGTTTATTTCTTGGATTAATAATTTTAAAAGAAGTAGAATTAAAACTAATTCTAAAAAAAATAAAATTAATTTTAAAAAATTAATACTAATTTTAACACTAATATTAAAAGTAAAAAAAACAAAAAATTAAAGTTGAGAAACACATGTGAAATCCACCCTTCCCTTTTTACTTCTCATGTAGTAACTCTTACGATTATTAAAATTGATTATGAAAAAAAAAGAAAAGAAATTGGAAGCAACTAAATTAATGCAAAACATTTTCGTTCACCCATTTTAAATGTCATTGATTGCCTTTTATCATGAAAATTCATGGGAAAAAAAATTGAGATCAGTAATGTATTAATGTGTTAATTAAATCAGTATTTTAAAAATCAGACCAACCGGTGAGGGTATTGGGTCACTGGTTTATCGGTCGAACCATGGGGTCACTGGTCGAACCGCATGACTAAACTGGATTAAACCGGATAACTCGGTTGAATAGACCTGTCATAATATAAATATAAAATCGGTCGAACCGGATGATTTAGTTTCTAAAAAAATATAACTAGTATTTAAATTTTTTGAAAATAAATTCACAAGTTCATAATTTAAATTCAAATTTAAATTCACAAGTTCATAATTTAAATTCAAATTTTAAACAAATGTATCACACATAACAAAATAATACAAAATTACAAAATCTAATTGCAACATAATATAATTGAATAATTTATAACAAAATAACTCCAATGTCTACTTAAGTTTAGTTCCAAGGAGGTAAAATTATTTCAATATTGGGATCTCCTTCTTCAATATCAAAACCATCTGCAGTAAAATCAATCGCATTTGCAACATTTTCCCCATCAATGATATTATTATTTTGGTTGTTTTCTCCAGAATTAAGTTGTTCATCATCCTCGACATCAACCTCATCCAAATTTAATTGATCTGTAACAACAAATAAATTAGAGAGTTAAACAATTAACATATAGTAATAAATTAAAGTAACAAAATTGTTATCAGAATAACTAATATCATACCAATATCATTTGACATAGGTTGAATTGTCATACTAGCAAGATCTTTGCGTAGTGCTTCCACCTCCTCAATGGTTAAGAATGGTGGTGAATCCTCCAACACCCAATCAGAATGATCACCAAATATTTCAAAATTGATAAGATCATAATTTTGTTTCTTCTTGTTTCTATAAATCATTAACGATAATGTCAAACATAAAACTCATTAATATTCTTAAAAACTAGTAGTATATAACTAACTTAACTAGCTTAAAAATTAATAATATAAAATATATATTAACATTGTACTAAAATGCAACATATTAAGCAATAGCAACAACCAAAGCATATGCTCAAATTCCTAATTAAATGTTCCAAATCAATCTCAGTACTATTTTTTGAGATTGAAAAATAAATTAACAAGTTTCTACATATCAAGCAATAGCTAGTAGTCTAAACAATATCATAAGCAAACAACATATAGTTGTTTCCAATTTTCATCATTCATAGTCATAAACAACATAAGTATATAAGCAATAGCATATAAATAATAATAAGTGCAATACCTGTTTTGTAGTCGTAGGTTGTAACGAACAAAGACAAGATCATTAAGCTTTTGATGCTCCAACCTATTTCTTTTTTTGAATGAATGTGCTCAAATACACTCCAATTTCATTCACAACCAGATGCACTACAAGTTTGGCTTAAAATCTGAATAGCCAACTTTTGCAAATTGGGCACTTCGGTTCCATAAGTTTCCCACCATTGATCTAGAATAGTGCATGTGAAAAAATTAGAAAACATTTTAAAATTCATATTGAAATTATAATAAAATGCATAAAGTTTATCATCTAATTTTACCTGGCAAAACTTCATCTCAATTTTCTACGGCAGTTGTCCTTCCAAAACTACCTTCACAATTTTTGAATAAACTCATCTCAACAATTAATTTAGTTCGCAAGTCCTTACTATCATATGCATACTTTTCAATGACATCCAAAAGACCTTGGGTAGTAGACTTGTGTTTTTCATATTCTTGACTGAATCTACAAGATGGATTTAACCAATAACTAGCAGCATGAAGATTTTTACGAAGTTGTGCATCCCAACGGTTATCTAAGATCCTCAGATAAGGCTCTACTTTCAGCTTATTTCTTCTAAACCTCTTCTCAATCTCCTCTCTTGCTTTATACATAGCTCGATAGAGATATTCCATAGCCGGTTTATCTTCACTATCAACAAGGCGTAACACACGTACAAGAGGTTCTGTAATTTTCACTATGTCAACACATGTAGACCAAAAGCTTGAGTCTAGTACTTGTTCCACAAATTGCTTTACGTTGCCATCTTTGGAATAAGTTGTAGTTGTCCACTCTTTGGAAGTTACCATGGCTATTAGTGCATCTTTATGAGACAAAATACTTTGCAATGCAATAAAATTAGTAGCAAAGCGGGTTGGAGCAGGACGAAGTATTTCTCTTCCACCTTTATTTTGTCTCATTAAATACAATGCAAAATAATGATTATATATTTATTTGGTAATTTTTTAAGCATGTGACACTGTCCCACTTACTTCCTCTAATTTCCCCATGTCTTGCAACATCAAATTAATACAGTGTGCTACACAAGGAGACCAATACAACTTAGGAAACTCCTTTTCCAACAACTTTCCTGCAGCAACATAATTTGCAGCATTATCTGTAACAATTTGAACAACGTTTTCTGGGCCAACATACAACACTACTTCCTTGAAAAGCTTAAACAATGTGTCTGCAGTTTTAGAAGCACCAGAGGCATCAACAGACTTTATGAAAACAGTTCCTTTGGGGCAATAAACTAAAAAGTTGATAAGAGTTCTTCTACAACGATCAGTCCACCCATCTGCCATAAGAGTACAACTTGTATCCTTCCAAATAGAACGATATTGCTCTAGCTGTATCTTCACGTCATCAACCCACTTATTTAACAAATTACCACGAAGAGCATGCATAGTAGGAACTTTGTATCCAGCACACATACAACAAAGAGCATCAACTGCTGGTTGAAAATAAGGAGAATTTGCAGCATTGAAAGGAATAAACGCATCAATAAACCACTTCACAATAGCAAGATCACACTTTTCTACCACTTCTTTACTTTGCATCACACTTTTTAAAGTAGGTTGAGCTCCCAGAGTTGTTCTGGGTAAAAAATAAGTACCAATGTGAGCATCATTCTTTTTAGATGCACCAATTCGTGGGTGCATTTGCATTTTCAATTCACCCCCCTCTGTAGAAAATGACTCACTTTCAGCCACATCTGGAGTTTTTCTTTCCTTGCTCCGCTCATTAAGATATTGATTCATCCGAAAACGAATTTCTGTAGGAACTAATTTACAAATTTCAACATTTCCTACTACTCCAGCTAAGTGTTGCTTTTCCCTATGAATTCCACCTCCACCAAACGCTTTGTGACAACAAATACAAACAAGACTTTTTCCATCAGGACTTTTAGTACAATGTGCCCAAGCTATATCAGTCTTTTGTCTAACATTATGTTGAACTAAATTAGGAGTTGAAGAAGCTTCTTGTGATGGGGGTTGTGATGATGGTGTTTCAGAAGATGCCATTTTCTTGTAAAACAGTTTAAAATTGCTACATTAAAATACACTTTAGTCTCACGTATTAGCATTAAACAGTTCAAGATTTTCCATCAAAACAATTCAAGATTTTCCATCAAAACATCTTATTAGCATCAAAAGTTCAAAACAGTTCAAGATTTCATTAAACAAAATATATTTTTTAAAGAATATATTTCATCTTATTAGCATTTAGAATCTTTATATTTTTTAAAGAATATATTTCCAAAACAGTTCAAGATTTCATTAAACAGAAATGCATATCAAGATTTCACCTTATTTTTTTTACTCAATGAAAATTTCAAACTTTATATGTAGAACCTATAATAGAATTCATGAACTCTAAATTATATTACAAACTGAAATGCATATCAATTCAAAACAAAACGCAAATATATTACTATGAAATTGTGTAAACTAAATGTATATTTTTTCAATAAACAATTTGTAGAGTAAAATGGAAACTAGTAGCGGCAATAACAGTAGTAACATGATGTGGTTTTTAAAAGATAGAGGATTCGATGATAACATCATACAAGGAATGTTTAAAAAATGCAAGCGTTTCGATAATAAGTATATTTTTTTTACAGAAAAGCAATTAGAATCTTTACTTAGAATCATTACTTATTGCAGCATGTAGAACAAAGTGAAATGTAAAATGCACAGCATCAAAGTTAGATCCATAATATATCTGACTATCTGTGATAATATTTGAAATGCATAGCATAAAAAAGAATCACTAACATGTTCAACATTTCAATTTCAGTAACTGATATTCCAAACCACTTCATAACTAATTGTCAGCATTTCAATTTCAGTAAAATTTCACCATAATTTCTCTACACCAAATCAAACAAATCAATTATAGATAATAACAACAATTAACAATTTTTTAACATTTTCAATTACACAAACTCAGAAGTCAGACCAATTGCATATTTTAACAGGGGTCACCTAGCGAAATTTGATTTCATTAACATAACTTCATTAACTTCCTTCTAGTTAAGACTGTCTTGCTGATTCCTAACAGATACATTTGAACTAAACTAAATCCAATATCATAACTCTAATGGCAACTAGGCTTAACAGAAGCTAAGACCGTTACTAGTTTCTAACAAAATTTCCCTTAGAAATCTAACAAAAGTTAACTTCCCGAACTACAAACAAACCCTGCCCATAGCCTACCCTAATTGGTTAGAAATCAAGCCCTATATAATCATTCCCTCACTCTCAGATTTAGAGTTGCAAATTCTCAAGAGTTCTCGCAATTCTCTCTGAGCAATAATAACAACAACACCTGCTCATATTTCTGTAAAACCCTTTCTGGGTTCATACGAAATCAATTTAACAATACAATTTCATCAGAAGATTAATATCAAACATGTAGAGGAGCATTGAACCCTAATTTAATCTTCAACAATTTAATGAAAACAGAGAGGAGCATTGAACCCTAATTTCAACGAAACAAAGTTAAATGAAAATAGAGAGGAGCATTGAACCTGGAAATTTGAAACGATACAGAAACCGAAATGGCGAGTCGTTGGTATATTGCAGCGGAGAGAACAAACTTGCGCGGTGGTGGAGAAAGAAAGACGAATGGTGGAGAAAGACCTGGAAACGTTTTTTTATTTTAATTTTCATAACTTTTACATTTAAATTTTAATTAAAAAATAAAAAATGCATTAGAACCGGTCCAACCATAAAACCGGTTTTTACCTGTCCAACCCGGGTTTCCCCGATTTTTACCGGGTTGAAGACATAGCCGATCGAACTAGTAACCCAAGCCGGGTACTAGGCCGGTTTCCGGTCAGACTGGTCTGACCGACCGGTTCGATCCGAGTTTTAAAACACTGAATTAAATTATTTTTTGAAATAGAACACAATAGACCATTTAAGTGGAAAGTAAAACTTACAGCAAGGCTTAAATAAAACGCTCATTCTCTTAAAGTGTATCATCTCTCACTAGAAACAAAACTCGTTGGAAAACTAAAGAAACAAGCCGCGGCGGAAACCGTCGTCTTCTTTGGCGGCAATACGTCCCCTCGCTACGGTTTAAACACTCCCCCCTCTAAAACGATCTCCTGAACCCAAATCCACCTCTTATTTCAACGAAATACTAATAAATCAACTGAATCAGACCTTCCCTCTTTCAAAACCCTAACCCAAGCTTCGTTAAATCATATGGCGAAAATGCAAATAAAAGATGCAATACAATCAGGCTAACAAAGGTTCGCGAAGAAAGGAGATTGAAGTGAAGTGACTCACCCTTGAAGACTAAAAAACGCAGGTACGAGCTTCCCTTTCGTTTCTTCTTACCCTTCTCTTCACAACCACCATTAGGGTTTTTGTATAGCCAAAACTTATCCCCTTTTCTTTGAGATGAAACTCCTTTATATATTAACTCAACTAGGGTTCCTTAACAAAACCATGTGAAAAATTCTGAATATACTGCTCTGCTCTGGTTGTGTGGTTCTTGCTGTAGTTTTGTCTCTTTCCATCTTTGTGTTAAGGTTATGGTACTATGAACTTTTGTTGTTGCTTTTGTTTTTCCATTTTCGTTAATTCTGCCTTTTGCTCTCATGTGGTCCCTACTGAACTTGTCTTGTTGTTATTGTTTGAAAAACTTGGATAACATTGTGTATGCTCATGATTTTTACACGAAAATAGACATGATATGCAATGGAAATTTTGAATTAGTCATATGCTTTATAATGAATTTGAACTTGGTATGAATTTGGGTTGAGTGTAGGTATTGAGTCCTGTTTTGAAAAATTGTAGTAGTGAATAGGTTTGATGAAATTGACCATGCTTGAAATATAATCTGAATTTTGATGTTTTCAGAAATCATTTGAAATTGAATTTAATCCATCAGTTGAATTGTGGTCATGACACTTGTACGTTTTGGTTTGTGACTTCTCAAACATGGAATGGTTTTGATTTTTGGTTTGTATTTTGAATGATTTTTAATTTTGACATGAATATAATGGAGTGTACATATGAGTTGAATCATGAATGCAATACATGAATTGGTGTGTATGACTTGAGATTGGAATGACTTGAAATTGGAATCTTGAAATTGATGACTTGTTGTGGCGTGACACAAATTGAGTTTGAACTTTGAATGTGACAATGTTTTTTTTTGTCCTTGAATGAATTTGGAGTGAGTTTGAATGATAATTTGGAAATTATTTTTCGCTTGAAATAAACTTGAATTGGATTTGAAAAGATCTTTGTCTTGAAACTTGAATGGGAATTTGAAATGAATTTAAACATGAATCTTTTTTTTTGTAATGAAACTTGAATTGGTTTTCTTTTGGATGTGACTTAAAGGGTTGGAAAAATTGACATGTTGCTTGTTTTGGTAGGTATGCTTGGATGGCTTGGATCAAGCTTGAAGGCAAGACTTGGATGAATTTGACTTGGAGACCTTTGGCATGGTTTGGATGAAGCTTGAATTGGAGATACTTTGGCATGGTGGCGGTTGAAAAAGAAGTTCTTTGATTTTAGACTTAGGATTTGTGTAATTCATGGCTTGTCACTTAAATTCTCACACTTTGTAATTAACCTAAAATTGTAAATGAAAAAAAAATCGGTATTGATATGGATTTGTAATAACTTTGAAAAGGAATAGAAAAGAAAATTGTAGTTTGAAATTGAGATTTGAATTATGGATGGAAATTTGAAAAATGAAGTTGAACTTGATGAGAATTGGTCCTTTAAATTTAACTTAAGTGGTATTGAACTTGAAAAGAGAACTTGATTGTAAGTTTGAAATGCCATAAAGTGAAAACTTGGTAGTTTTGAATTTGAAATGGGTGAAGTTAGAATGTGAAATGTCTTGCATTGATTTTGGATTAGTTTTTTTTTTTTTGAATTTGGATTAGGATTGACACTTGAAAGAAAAATGGAATTGGACTAAAATAGATCTTGAAATTGCACATGAATTGAAAACTTTAAGTAATTGAAATTGAAAGATTTGCACTTTGAAAATAAATTGGCATGGAAATTGAATTTCTTTGAATGAATTTAGGAAGAAAATTCAAATGGAAAATTCAAGTTAAAACTTGACATTGAATTGTCATTTGGCATGATAAGTGAATCTTGTAATTTGAAATGAAATGAGGGAAATTGGTTATGACTTAGAATTTTGAGATGAGTTTGGAAATGAAAATTGGTCATGAATTGCAAACTTGAGTCTTGGAATGTTTGACAATTAAATTTGAATTTTTATGACTTTGGGACATGAAAACTAAAATAAACTTAGATCAAATTGAAACTTGAATTGGGAATGAACTTGAAATTGATAAATATGAGATGGAAACTTAAAACATGAAACAAGAAACTTAAAACTTGCATTTAAATGGACACTTAAATTAGAATCTTGAACATGAAAGATTTTTTTTCGAACTTGAAAATTAAATAGAAATGGATTACAGAAATTGGAACATCTTGTCATAAAAAAACTTGACATGGAATTTGGAATGAGAATGAATTTGGATTTATTACAAGCTTAAAATTCTAGGATTGACATGGATTTGGATTTTGCAAAGGGATGAATGGATTAGAATATCAGACTTTTTTTGGCAAGAAAGTGAACTTTTGTTGTGGACTTGAAAATCTCACCCTCACAATCATGAATCTTCTATTAAGTTAAAAGAAAATACTCCAAAGTTCAACATCCTCATCTTAATCAAGAAAGACCTTGAACCAAGCATAGGTGAAAAACTCCTTGAAGCTTGTATTCCTCAAAATTAATCAAGAGTGAGCCAAGACTACTCTGAGTTTCTCGACTCCCAAGTTTTATAATAGCTCAAACCCTAATTTCATTAGGACCTTTCTAGTGCTTTGAAGAGACAAAAAACCTATCCTTGTCAATCTCTGTTCTTCAAACATCCAAGGATGCTGCTGCTGGCAAATTCATGATATGAAAAGTTGGGTGGTAATGACGGTGCGACAGGTACATACCACACTTTATGAATCAATGTTGTTTT